CCCAGGTTTCATCCTCCTCCATTAATTTCTAGCTCTGTGGTAACTAGGTGCAAGAATTTTGTGAACTATAAAGCCATTATATTAATTCCAAGATATTTTTCTCTAGCCAAAGAGGTAAATATGGAAGAAAATTACACAGTTCTGAAAATCTGATGCTACTTAAGTAGTTCACATTGCAAGGCTAGCTTTTTATGCTATTGTTGAAACTTCTAAAGTATGTAATACTTAAGAAAATGTAACTTCATGAATGCCTTAAATTTGTTCCTGTATCACATAAGTTATGTGTTTTAGTCCCATATTTTCTTGAATTCTAAATAATGAAAACTAAATCAGTGGTTACCATAGTTTTTTCAAGTTTATAAATTTGCTTTATATTCAGCTAGTTTTTTCAAGTTAAAGGGCAGTATGTTTATAGAGTAGTAAACTTAGCTGTGATTAAACTATGTTTCAGAATCCTGCTTCCTGTTTATTTAGGTGGCTCCCTCTGGTCATCCTTGCCACTTGCCCTGATCCCTGAACATTAGGGGGCCATGATTATATTAAATATTTGCCAGAAAAATGTCACTGATGTATAAAGATTGCTCTTTCTAATAAATAACATATGGACCATATGGAAAGATTTTAATGAGAAATTTTTATAGCTGGGAGGAATGTTTGTAGATCTAGGCCAATCAAGTTGTACACATTTTTATTTTCTATTTTCGGCAATTTTTGTAAAATGCAAAATCTTTATATTCAACTTTTATAGCAGTATGTATTCTGATACTTTGTGAGATTTGGTTTTTACTTAAATATGCAAATGTCAGGTGATATGTATTTGCCATTTTGGAAACTATAATAAACATTTCTTGGAAAAGTTAAAAGCCAAAATATTTTTCTTAAAAATGTCATTTCCTCCTCAGCCTTATGTTTACACAACACTGCCCCTTATCAGAGTGCAACGTGGAAAGTTTTATTCTGATGTGACTTGCTTTTTTGAACATGTTACCCATAGAGTCCGACTGTACAACATACAGGGTAAGAAAACAGAGAAACATAGATGTGAAACATGTATACTGGTTCTTGAATTCTTGCTTTTCTTGTGTTGTTTTTAATAAATTAGCAATTGGTTTTTTGAGATGATACAATGTCTAAACTTGATGTCATACTTCTCGTATGATTTAAAATATAATATTTGCCCTTTGAGAATCAAAAATGGTAAAACAGTTAACTCTTCCTACATATACATGTTTTTTTTTCTGTATGTCTTCTCTTTCCTATAGCAATATTAGTCTTGGTCATGAGCTCATTAACTGGAAACCTTATTTCTAAGATATAAAAACAGTTTTTCTTATTTTATAGAACGGAAATTATGTCAAATACGGTTTTCAATTAGTGAGTCACTCACATACACACACACATACACACACGCGCGCGTGGCCTGCCTTAAATATAGAATGTATTGCAATAGCAGATATCACTGGAATTTAGCTTTAAAAGAATGTTCTAAACTAGTTCTGTTTGTTTATAACTCTTCAACTGTTAGAGTATAAAATCAGGCAATTGTGTATTGCTTTAGGACAATGTTAAGCAGCATCTTTATTAACCAAGCGATAGGAGATAGCCTTTTATCCCTTTAGGAACTGAACTGTGGGCCTTAGCACTGGTCCCTCCAGAGGACCTGGGTGGAGCTCTGGTTCCCAAACACTCTTGGAACTGTACACATTGGTTGATTTCAAGTTCAGTGTTTTTAGGATGGAGTACTTTTCCAACCACAAATTTAATCCCAGTAACCAGGCCATTTACCATAGTATCAACTCTCTTAGAAAAGGACCTCATGAAAATGCCACTTTAAATTTTTCTTTGCTGTTAGATAAGCTGAAAAAATTAGAAAAGGAAAAATATCATTCCCTGAGTCTTCATACTGGATAGACAATGAAGCATTGTACAAAATAATGATAAGATATATGGGCAGGCTCTATTTACATTTTAGGTATTGTGGGGATTCAAAGGGTACTATGTTCAGGGAATTTCTTAGCTGAAGTTTAGTTTACTAATTTCAGTGTCTAAATTTAATTTCACTTTCATTTAACTTTTTTAAACTACAAATTTCATTAATGTTTGCTTTTTATTAGAATTTCAGGTATGGATAATCTTTCTCACATGACTTCTTAGTTAATAATGTGATATGTTTTCAGAATAACTCATGATTTGTAGGTTGAATCAAGAAGTAAAAGGTCTTCTGGAAGATAGGGAAAATTACACTAGACAGTAACGCCATGTCCTAAATGTGACTTCTGCAGTTATCAGCAATCATTCTGCTACCTACAAGAAAGTCTGTAGTTCTGAAATAATCTTTTATTGAGTTTCCCAAAACTTCTAGTAAGTCAGAAACAATATTTTTGACCACCCATCCCTTTGTAGTCGTATGTAAGCCTTTGTTTAACATCTTTGAGAGCCCTTCTCGGCAGTTGGAAATGCCCAGCAGCTGACTGATAGCTTTTTTTTTTTTTTTTATGGTGACATTGATTAACAAAATTCTGGGCAGAAAATCGCATCATCAGACAGGAGATGCACTTGCCTACTTTTAAATTTGCTTGGCACTATTGGTTTTTTAATAAACAAGTTCTTCCTTGAGTACAGCAGGGCACCCACTATGCCATCAAGCTTGGTTTGCCAGTGTTTTTCATCAGTTATATTTAGAGATAGGCCATGTATCAGAGTAAATGCTGAAGCAGCACATCAGAAAATTTCAACTTTTCAATCAAGTATATTTGCTTAATTGCTTTTGCTTTTATTTGCTTCTGTCACTGTCACTGCAGCATCTTAGTTTTTCGGGTTGTCCAAGAGATATAAATCTTATATCAAAGGACGGTTTCTGTAACTTAGCTGTCTTCTCCTGCTGTAGATATAAGTTTAGCTTGCCATCATTCCCCGTGGTAATTTTGTAAATTAATAGCTCTAACTTGCTTGTTTACTTATTCCAACAATCATGCACTCCTTAGAACTAAATACTTGTCTTTTCTCCTCTCCCCTTCTCGGCAGTTGGAAATGCCCAGCAGCTGACTAATAGCTTTTTTTTTTTTTTTTATGGTGACATTGATTAACAGAATTCAATGTTTCAAGTGTACAATTCAACAGTAAGTCATATATATATTGCATCATGTTTACCACCCATAGTTACATTTCTTTCCGTCACCACATATTCGACCCCCTTCACCCCATCTACCTCCTCACTCCGCCCCCACCTCTAGTAACCACTAGTCCACTATCCATGTCCATAAGTCTGTTTTTCATCATGTTTGTTTCTTCTTTTTAGATTTATATCCCACATTTAAGTGATATGCGGTTTTCAACTTTTTCTGTCTGGCTTATTTCGCATAGCATGATTATCTCAAGGTCCATCCATGTTGTCACAAATGGCAGTATTTCATCTCTTCTTATGGCTGAGTAATATTTCATTGTATATGTATACCACAGCTTCTCTAGCCAATCATCTGTCTTGGGACATTTCGGTAGCTTCCATGTCCTGGCCACTGTGACTAATGCTGCTAAGAACACTAATAGCTCGTTAGCAGGATCAGAGGCCACTAAGATTTAACTCACTCCTGGTTGGTAGTGCTGGCGCTCAGATTAGTCAGTTAAGAAATAGAGGTTGTTCTGAACAGGGCACTTAGAGTATTAGCATAACAATACTAATAAATAAATACACGAACCTCATTTTGCCTCTGGATGTCTCAGTGGGTGGCATAAACTTGAGCTGAGGCACTTTTTTTCTTAATATTTAATTTTTGTGGCTTGAAAGCAGAAAGCTTCAGAAGTTAGTGGGAAATGACAGATAAATAAGTATAATGTGAAGAGTGCTTCTCCAGATCAGTTTTACTGTACTTGCCTTGATTGAACCTGAAACCAGCATATATAACTATTTAAAGCAATGTATCAATCTTTATTTTTGCTTTCTCAAACCCAGAGCATTTTTTTTTTCCAACATGAAAGGCTTTCTTCCAAACTATATACCCTTCCAAGTTTGTATTTGAGCCTGCCTCAACAAGTCTCCCTCCTACAAGAGAATCGGCCCAATTGTGGAGGTGGATCTTTCTCTCAGTAGCCTGTGAGACCCACTTCCATCTATTCATGTCTTTCATAAAGCAGAGCTCGGGTTGTCTAGATCCTGGTTCATTGGGGTTTTAATTAAATCACTAATCAAAACCTATGGCAAAGTTGTGAAGTCCTTTGAGTGTTTGACTCTCTAGGCATGTGAGCTACCCTAAAGGTTTTTGGTTATGCTGTGCCAAAGCATCTGTACTAAGAAATACTTGAAAATTCTTCAGTGTTTTAATCTTTGGCCTCTGGGCGATTGATCAAAATGCATAAATAGAATGCGGCTTTTCAACCTGGGTACAGAAAACTTCAGCCAACTTCCATGGTTTTGTAGATTGACTTTTGTTTAATATTTCTTAAAATAACAAATGTCTATTCTCGAATTTAACTTATTAAACTTTCTGGATATATGCTAATTTTGCCCCTTTTAAACTGACCAGATGCGGTTACTTGGAGGAGTGTTAGTGACTAGAGTTTATTGGTTGTTAGTTCCAAATATATGACCCAGAGGAAATGGTGGTTGGGGAAGAGAGACTATCACTATTGTATGGTTACATATTATAATTGTGTTAGTTTACTAAACCAGTTAATTATACAAAAGATTTTGTTATCTCTCAGCAACATGAGTAAAGAAACAGAAAATGAGTTAATGTTATGGATTGTCTTTTTTGAGTGTCTATATTAAACCTTTAAATTTAAAGGTTTGCAAAACGAAAGTAATGCAAACCTGACGAAAGAGTCTTAAATTCCTGTCTCTTTTTCAGTTACTCTTTGACTCTTTTCTCCCCAAAGTAACTTTTGCTCAAATTATGCCTCGAGAAGAAACAGAATCAAGAACAAAATCAAACAACATTTTCCAAATTATATATTTATGTAGGAAGATGAGGTGGTCAGTTGTTTCAAAAGGGAGGCCTGGGTTCAACCCTGCCTCCTGGTTTTGTTTTGGGTTTGATATTTAACTTCAGTTTCTCTATTTGCATTTTCTCTAGATGATGAAAATAGTAAGAGTTGCTGTTCAAAGTCTCTCTTAACATCACTTCAGCTATTAAAATGCACTGTATTTTTCTTTTCATTATCATTCAGACATAACACTCAAAAGATTTCTAGAAATATTAAATTAGAGGAAATCTTGTGCTCACTAGCTTTAAAAGCTCCAAAAGATCAGAGTGGTTTCAGATATTTCTAATGAAACATAATGCTTGCCTTCTATCAGGTTAAATAAGAAATCCATTTCATGGCGACTGTATTTAATGAATGTCCTTTGAGAACTATTTTATGATTTCAAAAGATTATTTCATTTGTAGAAAATAATATTTTTCTAGAGGAAAAGATGGGAGAGGTGGGAATTAATTTTTCTTGTGGTGTAATCATCTTTCATTAAATTAAAGCTTTAAATGTTAACCAGATAGGCTACTTTAGCTTTTGTCGTTAATCTTGGATTAGAAGATAGAATATGATGCAAGCAGAAGCCCCTGTATCCCCTTGTGCTATATTTGATGCTGTAGCATCACAAAAAGTACGTACTTTGCAGTGACACAATGATCAGAAAGTGACATTTGCTTGCTGTGGCTTCATTTGTCTTCAGAGCTGTAATTATTAGACTTTGGTGCCCTAGTTTTCTGACATCAGCAGCCAGTTTGAAGAATTAGATTGCTATGGGTTACCAATGTGTCATGTACATTTTCACTGGCATAAGGTTCAGATTCCGTATCTGTTATAATGTATACCTTCAAGGTTTATTCTCACCCTTCCCCACACCCGCCAGGACTATGTTCTCCTAGGCAGGTGTTTGTGAGCTAGTGAGTGAATGTGTATAAACCGTGTTTCAACTCTTAGGAGAAATACCTTAAATGCAATCTTTTAGCCTATTTTCCACCAACATATTATAAGAGTACTGTATGTAATGGATTTTGCTGAAAGAAAGCAAGTAGCCTGGA